ATTTGAATGACATTTCCAATAAAACAGAATATCCTTGAATGAGGGAGGCGCGTACGTGAAATGAAAAGGTCACATCATTTTTATTGGTCATACAATTTCAGTTCTAGTCACCTATAATATATGAAGAACAAACTTGAATATAGTAATCACATTTTTTTTTGTGTTTGTTTAAGTTAATCATAAAATTTAGGTCCAGAAGAGAAATGCACCACCAAGCAAAGTGAAAAATATGACTTTCCTTGTTTTGGCCATTTCAAAATGGTGCTATCTTGTCTTCCCATCATAATGTTAATACTTTAGCACACTTAATGCCAGGCATACGTTTTCAACACTATATAATATAGATTTGTCATGTATATAGTATCCAAAGAAAGAAAATTCAAAGGTTCTTATATTATGGCGTAAATATATGCATGCAATTAAAGACACAAAAACAAGAGTTCTCCATTGTGTTTGAAGCAATTCATTGCAACCTTCTCCAAACAGTTTGGACTATTTATAAATATAATAAGACATTGACTATTAGAATAATTTGAAAGGAATATTAGGAATCTATTGAAGAATCCATCCTCAACAATCAACAACGGTAACTCTACCTCATGATAACAAGTATGGAAGTTATTTTGTTTAATGAGGTTGACATATGGAACATAATTTAAAAATTCATAGAAGATCATAATGAAACCTTATTTAGACTTGAGGGAAAATTTAGTACGTTGTAGTAATTTATCTATTTAGAAAGTTTTAATGGTCAATGCACACATGGCTATCTAATAACATGATATCAAAAAGTCTAAAACTCAAGATATTATTAATTAACAACACTTCAAAAGGTCTTTGCAAGTCACTTCAAGATATACATATAAAATAGGATAGTAAAGATGGGTCATGTGCTAGATCTTTATGAAGTAACAACAAAAGGCAAGATAAATTTCTCCATAGGAAGAGTTATATATTTATATAAAAAAGAAGATAATATTGAAGAAGATACGTACTAGGAGAGGAGCGTTAACTACAACGCTTGCAGTGCGACGACACTTGTAGTGTAGAGGAGCGGAGCAGTGGTGTATGGTGTAGAGGAAAACGAGCAGTGGCACGTATAGTGGGATGATGAGTTGAGGTTTCAACAAAGGGAGGCACAAGTTTGTGAAATGGGGCACAAGTTTGTGAAAGGGAGGCTTTGAAGGCTTTGTACTTTGAGTGAAAGGGAGACTCAAGGATTTTTTTTTTGGCGTGATCTTTATATATTGCGATGGTTCTCAGTAAACTGCCTTAATATTTAATAACTCAACGACAGGTAATGGAAATTGTCATGTGAACCGTTACAATGTTGAAGTGGAGACAGTTATAGTATAATCGTCACAATTTCTACATCGCGATTTTTCTATTTTCTTGCAGTGGGAGGTTTGATTCTTGTTCCTCGTTGAAATTTTCTTAGTTGATCGTATGCACTTGTTTAATTGGCCATTATGGTATGCACAATCAGGAATTATTTTTTATGGCATTTCATTGTCATTTGACATTAGCATTAATTGGAAGGAAGAACTATGAATATGATATTATTGTGTTGTTTGTTTGAAATTGAATGGCGAAGAACAAAGAGTAGTGAGTCTCAAAAAGCAAATCGAGAAGCTTTCAAGGTATTAAAGACTCACACCTCTCTCTCTGCAATGAAGGAAGAATTGTCTATGATTGAGAAAAATAGAACATGGGAATTGGTTGATCGACCTTAGGACAGGAAGGTTGGAGTCAAATGGGTGTATAGAGCGAAGCTAAATGCAAATGGTTCTGTCAACAAATGCAAGGCAAGACTTGTTGTGAAAGGTTATGCTCAAATCTCTGGCATGGATTACTCAGACACCTTCACACCAGTTGCTCGTTTGGACACCATACGAATTTTGCTTGTTGTAGCTGCTCAAATGAATTGGAAAGTGTATCAACTTGATGTAAAATCAGCATTTTTAAATGGTGTCTTGCATGAAGAAATTTACGTTGAACAACCTAAAGGTTTTGTAAAGAATGAAGAAAAAGACAAGGTGTATCTTCTCAAGAAGGCTCTTTATGGGTTGAAACAAGCTCCATGAGCTTGGTACAACAAGATAGACGACCATTTACTAAGCATCAATTTAAAAAAAAGCTTGTTTGAAGCCACTCTTTATGTTAAACAGTAGCACAATGATGTTCTAATAGTTTCACTTTATGTTGATCATCTTTTGGTGACATGAAATATTGCAAGAATGGTTGAAGAATTCAAACAAGAAATGATGAAGGTTTTTTAGATGACAGATATTGGGTTAATGACCTTTTTTCTTAGAATGGAAATTAAGTAAGCTTAGTATGAAGTCTTCGTTTGCCATAAGAAGTGTGCTAAGGAGATTTTGAAGAAGTTTAAGTTTGAAGAATGCAAAAAAGCAAGCACTTCTCCAAAGTTGTGTAAGGAAGATGGAGCTAATAAAGTTGATAAGAGATACTTCAGAAGTTTGATTGGTTGCTTGATGTATCTTATTGCAACACGTCCTGATATTTTAAATGCTGTAAACATTTTGTCCATGTTTATGCACTTGCAAGCGAATTACATCTTAGAGTTGCCAATAGAATAATTCGATATGTAAAAGGAATAAGTGATTTTGGTGTTAAGTTCTCATGGAGCAAAGAATTTAAGTTGACTGGTTTCTCTAACAGTGATTGGGATGGTTCCATTGATGTTATGAGAAGGCTACTGTTTTACTCTTGGATCTAGTGTTTTCTCATGGAGTTGAAGAAGCAAGAAATCGTGCCTCAATCCACTGTTGAAGCAGAATTCATTGCGGAAACAATTACAACAACAAATTTCCAGAAGAACGGGCCGTTCTCTTTGCAGAACGGCTCGTACTGCTTGCAGAACAACCCGTTCTGCAAGGAGAACGGCCCGTTCTACAAGGAGAACGGGCCGTTCAAGCGGAACAAATAGAAAAAAAAAACAAAATAATTACGGGGACAACAAACTAACCTCAAACGACCAACGTGCAGACACTTATAGACTTGGATACGTTGAATGTAGCAATAAACACAGTGGGAGACTCAGAAATTCAGAGAAAATGAGAGGGGTTGTTTGTAAATTGTGAGCGCGGGAATGGAAAATACAAAGGTGGGGAATATAGGGCCATTTTTTACGTCAGGTTTCGTTGTTCCGACGTAAATTTACGTCGGACTATAGGGGTTCCGACGTAAATTTACGTCGGACCACCTCTAGTCCAACGTAAATTTACGTCGCACTATGAGACTGCGATGTTAATTCCCACATTTACGTCAGACTAGGGGGGGTCCGACGTAAATTAGTCTCCACTTAATTACGAAACTGCCACCGCGTTTTTACAACGTTGGTGTTTACTGTTTCCGACGTAAATTGGGTGACGTAAATACCCTTTTTTGCACTAGTGAATAGCTGACTCATCAACGCGTGGTGAGACACGCGGCTTCTCATTGGGCGCAGGAGGTGGCAATGAGTTGGAACCCACAAACTCTTTCAAAGCACTCTTAACGTTCAGAAGTGAAATATCTGGTCCCATAATGTTCTTTTCATTCTCCAATATTCGGTTCTCTCTTCCAAAACCAGATAACTCTTCATTACCTTCTTCTATTTGCTCATCCTTTTCTTCTTTGGTTGTAACCCCATCTTCTGCAAACTTGTCCAGCATCTGAGGCAAGGGAATAGATTGAGCTTCTGGATCGCCATGGAATCGGCGAAGAAGAGACACATGGAAGACGGGATGGATTTTGCTATCCGAAGGTAGATCCAGCTTGTAAGCAACGGTTCCCACGCGAGAAGAAACTCGAAAAGGCCCATAGAAGCGCTTAGCAAGCTTTTGGGACAGGGAACGAGCCAAGGAACGTTGACGGTATGGTTGGAGTCGCAGAAGAACCCACTCGCCAACAGCAAAGGTAATATCCATTCTTTGCTTGTCTTTCTGTTGCTTCATGAGTTGTTGAGCCCGAAAAAGGTTAGCTTTTAAACGGACTAAAACCTCCTTCCTTTGTTGCAGAAAATCATCAAGTGAAGCGTTCTTTGCTGTACCACGAACATAGTCGTGGAAAGATGGTGGCTTGCGGCCGTAGAGAGCCTCAAACGGGGACATCTTGATGGCGGAGTGCCAAGAGGTGTTATACCAAAACTCAGCATGATACAAAAATCGGAACCAGATTCGAGGTTGCTCACCTACAAAGCAACGAAGGTAAGTTTCTATGGAACGGTTTACAACTTCAGTTTGTCCATCGGACTCCGGATGATATGCTGAACTGAAACGGAGTTAGGTGCCTTGGAGTTTGAATAACTCACGCCAAAAGTGGCTCAAAAAGAGGCTATCCCTGTCTGAAACTATAGATCGAGGTGTGCCATGGAGTTTACAAACTTCAGTTAGGAATCGTGTTGCTAAACTGTGAGCTGTGTAATTAGTAGGGAGTCCCAAAAAATGCCCTGATTTAGTAAATCTATCAATGATAACCCAAATTGTTGTGTGACCATGTGAAGAAGGAAGTCCAGTAATGAAATCCATGGACAAATCCTCCCAAGCTTGTTGAGGGCAAGGCAAGGGACATAGGAGACCTTATTTTTTTTGTGGCAAATACTTGTTGTGTTGACAATTTTTGCAGGATCTGATAAACTCCTTTGTATCTCTGTAAAGACCAGGCCACTGGAATGATGCAGCAATACGAGCAAGGGTAGGCTTCAAACCGGAATGACCAGCGGCTGGAGGCAAGTGGTATTCCTTGAGAACAGTGAATCGCCAATCATCTTTGTCAGGTAAATAAAGACTTCCTTTGTAGTACAGTAGTCCTTTTGAAAAATGGTACAAGTCAGAGTTACCCATGCTGGACCTAATGAGTTCTTCCCCTTCTTGTGTTGTATAAAATTTTTGGAGTGCTGAAAGGAGTAGAGGAATAGGACTTGAAATCGCCAACAACATTGAAGGGTCAGTGCTTGGTACTCTGGATAGGGCATCTGCAACTCGATTCTCCTTCCCAGGTCTGTAAAATATTTCGTAGTCATAACCTTATAGTTTAGTAGCCCATTTTTGTTGTTCTGGAGTTTGGTAAGTCTGAGTCATTAGGTGCTTTAAACTCTGTTGGTCTGTGAAGATGCGAAATTTTTGCCCAATCAAGTACTGACGCCATTTTTTTACTGCTTCTGTCACATCGAACATCTCCCGGACATAAGTAGAGGAATGTTGCATGCGAGTGGACAACTTTTTGGAGAAAAAAAGTAATAGGATGGCCAGACTGCGAGAGGACGGCACCAATGGCAATGCCCGATGCATCAGTTTCAACATGAAAGGTGTCTTCAAAATTGGGCAGCATGAGTACCGGGGTGGAAGTCATGATCTCCTTTAATTTTTTAAATGTTGTATCTGCTGTATCACTCCATGTAAAAGCCCCTTGTTTTAAAAGATCGGTGAGAGGAGCGGCGTGTGTGGCGTAGTGACGAACAAATCGTCGATAGAAGCCGGAGAGGCCGAGAAAACCCCTCAACTCCGAGAGAGAACGTGGGCTAGGCCAATCCAAAATACCTTGTATTTTTGATGGGTCTGGCTCAACACCTTTGCTGGATATAACATGGCCTAAGTAACCAACAGAAGTAACTCCAAATTCACACTTAGTTAACTTTGCATAAAACTGGTGAACAAGTAACAAATTTAAAACTAAGCGTAAGTGAATTAAATGATCAGTGAAAGTGGGGCTATAAATAAGAATATCATCAAAAAAAACTAGAACAAATTGACGTAAGTAGGGCCTTAGAAAATCGTTCATCGCAGCTTGAAATGTTGTTGGTGCGTTGGTGAGCCCAAAAGGCAGAACCAAAAACTCATAGTGGCCATCAACTGTTCGGAATGCTGTTTTATGTGTATCTTCAGGAACAACTCGAATTTGGTGGTAACCTGATCTCAGATCTATTTTTGTGAAAATTGTTGCATTACCCAACTCATCAAGTAATTCATCCATAGTAGGAATAGGGAAACGATTTTTAATGGTAATGGAATTAAGGGAACGGTAATCAACACAAAAGCGCCATGAACCATCTTTTTTGCGAACTAGTAAAACGGGTGAAGAATAAGGGCTAGTGCTAGGAATAACTATGCCTTCCTGTAACATGTTAAATAAAATGGTAGACATAGCTTCTTTTTGGGAATGGGGGTATCTGTATGGTTTAACATTAACTGGCTGGGATTGAGGTAAAAGGGTAATGTGGTGATCATGTGGTCTAGGTGGGGGAAGGCCATGTGGTTGAGTAAAAACTTGGTGAAATTCCTCCAACAATTTTAATAAGTCAGGATGTAGGTTGGTGGGTAAAAGGGGTGGGGTGTCCATGGCTAAAAGGGTGGACGGGGTAACTTGTGGGTCATGTGGGATATGGGTAGGGTCATAAAAGGTTAGTGTGTGAAATTGGGCCACAGAGTCAGTAAGCAATAAGCGGTGGATTTGATGAAGGGTTGCTGGGGTAGGTACAAGGAGAGGTTGGCCAGTGAGGGTAATAGTGTGGCCATTGTGTTGAAAAGCCATTGATGGCACAGAAAAATCAGAAGAAATGGTGCCCAGAGTGCGCAACCAATCAATTCCCAAAACAATATCAGCTCCCTGAATATCCAATAAATAAAAAGGGATATGAAATGTATGGTCAAAAATGCACAAGGGAATGTTAGGACACAGGCCAGCATAGAAAATATGTTCCCCATTTCCAACCATAACAGGGAATTTAGGTGTAGATGTAATAGGCAAGTGGAGGAATTTTGCCAATTTAGGACGCATCACATTATGCGAACTGCCAGTGTCAACGAGAACCATCACTGATTGACCACAAATAGTCCCTGGAAATTTAAGAGTACGAGGGGATGGGTGTCCTTGGAGGGCATGGATTGATAATTGAAAATGAATGGGATCCGGTTCAGTAGGTTCAATATTGTCATCCAAGGGAGTACTGTCATCTAGAGTTTCAGTAGGATCATCCACCAGTAGCAATAAAAACTGTTTAGGTTGGCAACGGTGACCTTGAAAATATTTTTCATCACAATTATAACATAAGCCTTGTGCTCGTCTTTCATGCATTTGGGTAGCTGTTAATTTTTTAATAGGGAGTGTGTTTGTGGGTTTTGGAAGAATGGGTGGTGGGGTAGTTTTATGTGGAGGTGCTGTTTGTGTGGGGGAAAATGGGGTAAAGCGGTGTGGGCGTGGGGTTGGGGTTTTAGCATCATGTAATTTACTTTCAACTAATTTTGCTAAACCAATGGCCTGAGAAACAGAATAGGGCCGAAAAACAGCTAACTCACGAGCAATTTCAGGAATTAAACCAGATAAGAAACAATTAAGAATAGTTTCAGGAGATAAACCAACAACCTGGTTACACAATCTTTCAAATCTGGTTTGATAGTCTGCCACCGTTGTGATCTGCTTTAACTTGAATAATTCGGCCTGGGGGTTTTCATAGGAAGATGGGCCAAACCGGATCTGTAAAGCCCGAGTAAACTCATCCCATGACCCTAGCAAATGATTATTGTACTGATAACGGTACCAACCAAGTGCCTCACCTTGGAAGGCAAAGGTCGCCAAATTAATACGTTGCTCATGAGGAACCTGGTACAATTTAAAATACTGTTCAGCATGAAAAATCCAGTCTAATGGTTCCTTACCATCAAAGGGTTGGAGGGATAATTTTGGGGTTTTGGTGAGTGAAGAGGCAGGACGAGAGGAAAAACCAGCGAGTGGGTGAGGAGGAATGGTAGATTGTTGTAAGGAGAGATTATTTAATTTTTCCATCATAATAGCGAGAGAATGAGTGAGTGATTCATGGCTTAAGGACAAAGATTGCTGAAGTTGGTCCTGCCGTTGAGAGAGTTTTGTGTGCATGGCAGAAACTCTGTCATTAATGGCAGAAACAACATCATCAGGGGTATAGGATTGGGTAGGAGGCATGGTTAGAGAATGAAAGCACCAATTTGGTAGGAGGAAAATCCCACCAAAGAAGAATTACAGCAGAGTTAAGAGGAAAGCAACAAAATTCACAAAAGAGAATAGAGAACAAGCTCAATTTTTTCATATATCATGAAAAAGAAAAAGAAAATATCTCCCTATAGTCAAGGAGAACCGTACAAGTGGCAAACATCTAAAGAAAAAGATTATTCTAGAAGTATTTCCTGCAATAGCTAAAATATCACTTAGTCACATAGTCCTTAAGCCATAAAGGCCTTCTTTTCTCACGGTTGGGCCTGGTAACAACTTCCAGCCCATCATAGAATGTGAGCACCCTAATACTAATGACATGTTTAGAAATTTACTGCACAGTGCACATGTTTAGAAATTTAGTTCTTATGCTCACCAAACCAAAAAGAACTTTAATTACTTGCAAAAGGGCTTTACATCACATGCAAGAAAATTCCTCCTTGATTGTATTAAATTATTAACCATGAATTAAAACTAAATGCATTTTGTTATATTTCCTATAAAAAAATATAAAAAAAAGCTAACATCATAATTCAGTCAGTACTAATAAAAAAAATCATAATTCTATCTGTTTCAAAATATATCGCTAATACCATGAATGAAAAACGTAATTATTTTTATTACAAGAAACTAAAAATATCCAAAGAGATAGCAAGATAATTTTAGTTTGAATTGCCATATATAGATAAACTGAAAATGGGACGAAAACATGTATGAACGTAGAACAAATTTTACACGATCACTAATTAAGATAAGTACACAAGTTACAAAGTTAGAATGGTATTGAGATTTGAGAAAGAAAGTAGTTTCCAATTAGTGAAGAAATAAAGTAACTATGACTACGAGGTTTGTACAAATCCAAAGGGGTGAAGGAGGAAAACCCCTCCCATGATGATGATCCTTAATTTCTTCGATAATGGTCAAAGAATTGAGGAAGATAAGTGAACACATCGTGTAGTGATGGAGGAGAAGAGAGAGGAGACACTTTGAAACAAACCCACCACAATTCCCAACTTCACTTGACCCCTCTTGGGGATCAAACGGCCAGAAATGTTCCTGCCGTTGATTAAATCCCTTCTCGTAATCGCCACCACTCGTGCACACATCTTCGGACACAACAGCACAAGGTTTCTCTAACTTGTAATTCTATCTCACCTCTCAAGAGTTTCACTTCACTTATATAGAGGCTTAAGGGAAGTTTACTTACAACAATGCCCCTTCTTTTTATAATAAAGTACCACATTAATTTTTATAATATTTTTTTGTTTGTTTGAATCCAAAATCCAAATGCTCCTCTTTCTACTCTCAAGTGATCGTGGGTTTTGATTTCGACCTTGCTTTTGTTGCCAGCTGTCTACCTTTTCTTGGTTACGTGGGGTCGTCCAATTACTCTTTTTTCTTTGTTGGCTATTGACCCCTCTACGTCTCAGTTAAACCTAATCTTCATCGTATTCAACTTAGATTCTCATTGTTAATAACTTTTACTATCTCTGTTCATGTGTGATATATCAATAAAATTGAATAACGAGATTAGTCTTTTTTTTTTTGTCTTACTATGATTACTCAGAAAAAATATTAAAATAAATTTAAAAATTGAAATAAAATTAAACAATATTTAATGCTTTATTTAAAATAATTTGTTGAGAGATGAAAGTAAGTACTTGTTAATAAAATTTGGCTAATTTTTTTATTATTGTGTCTTAACATTAAATTAAAAGGTTAACATCTATTTCACACAAATTATTTATACTAATAAAGTATGACATGATTGATTATAATTTTATCTCTTACACATATAACTAGATGTTCGATCTTAAATCAATGTATATGGTAAAACATTTATCAAAAGAATTTAATTTCTTAATAAATTTCACAATCTTAAAAAAAATTAGTGTTAACTTTTGACTAAGAGATACATTCATTCATCCAAAAATAAAAATATTGTTTTATAGATAATGAAGAATTACACTGATGATCAAACTAATTTTTCCTTTCATAACACTACAAAACAATCATATACAAAGAGAAAAATTTAAGCAAATTATGTATGTATGAAACTATTAATTAAGTAATACAAATATGCGGCTGCGGCATATATAAAAATACATTATAGGTGTTGTTTGTTCATATTATAACAAGGTCAACAGTCAATTATTATCATCACCACGGCTTTGAATTGCATAGATCAGAATAAATAAAGAACGAAAAGTCCATGGTCAACAGTAAGTTAACTAGAGCAAATCCTTTGGACTTTGAATGTTTAACAAAATCCAACATATGTGAATAGGGAAAAGAAAAAGGGACAAATAGTCAAGACACTAATGCTCATCATCCAGTGAATTAAGAAACACTGCAATTGAGATGCAATTTTTCAAAATTTATTTTTTCAATTTGTAAATTATTTTAATTTTAAAAACTGATGTAATGATTATGAAATTTTAAAATATATTTTTATCACAAACAGATATTTATTTAATAAAAAATAATAATTTGTGCCTTTTCACATAGAAATGAAAAAAAAACCTACAGTCATAAATATGAAAAGTATTTTTATATAGTTACGTAATAATGAGATGAACCTCAAAGTCGTTTTAGTGAAAACGACAACATAACGGTGGTCCTGCACGCCGGCTATATTTAAAAGGCCACCAGGCTGCGGGTGTTTGTTTAATCTGAATAAATAAATAATTTAATTTGATGGAAGAGATTAAGATAAGCATAAACCTTATGCTGCATAAAAATCACGTGCATGATTCCTTGAATTAGAAAACGATTATGATTTTGGAGAATCGAAAACCTTTTTACTTTTAGGTGTCGTTTGGCTGAATATGCCCCACCAACCACTACTACCATTATTTCATTACTCCATCCAAACGTGGCTCCATATGCAACCCACCTCACCTCACTTCCTTAGCACACTCACTTTCAAGTTTCAACCCTACCCTACTCTTGATAACTACTTCCTACATATCCAAATTAAACACTCATTTCTATTTTATACTTGTAATTCATTGCTCCCTCAACTTAACATTTAAGACATTATGAAAAATCAAATCTCTTAGTATAGTGATTGAATGACCTACTTATGTTACAAGAGGTCAACTAGTATTTTTAAGTTTGATTCTAATAAAAAATTATATTTCATGATTATAAATTAGTCTTTCATTATCGATATTGTACAAATGATCTTTATAAAAAAAATTATGAATGTTAAACCTATTTTATTTGATAATTAAGAATATGTTCAATTATCTTGTCACATTTTATTTTAAAAACTAGTTTTAAGATATGTTTTTCTCATTGTTTTCTTTTCTTTTCTTTAAGTATTCTATTTTGTTTAGGGGCAAAGTTTTAGATAATACAAATGTGTTTAGGGAATAAATACTTACTAATATGTTCATGAGACAAACTATTTTTTTTTTTATAAATATTCCTAGGTTTTATTTTTTTTTACAATAGTAATAACTAATAAGAAGTTATGATCTCGTGTTAATTAACCTCCTCGACGCTTTGAAGTTTAAATTTTGAAAAGTGAAAGACGAATTTTTGGTTATAATTATTAGTCTCACTATGTTAAAGTTAGTAAGTGAAAGATTTAAAAATAAAAAATGATGGAAAGCAAATTTGGGTGCTAGTGGGACTAATTAAGAATGATGATAAGATTTATTGGTTTGGTTTTTTAAGGTTAATTTAAGGTGCTCTGAATCTTGTAAAGGGGGGAGACCTTGATACAATGTACTGAAAACCATAATGTTGAAATACGTTGGTTTAAGATTGTGTTGGATTCTGTTGAGGGAAGAATAGATTGGTAGAATATAAAAATACTAGTGAGATTATAACATTATGAGTGACAGTTGTTAAGCTCATTGTTAATCACAATTATTGACTATTATATTTAAGACAACTTGTGCATTGTCGCTTTGCTACTTTACCTAGTCCACTCCATCATGCACTTAATTAATCTGACATGACCTTTCTCCTACCTCTACAACATCTGAAAATGAAGCATTTCATTTCTTATATAATTTAATGCTCCCTAAAAATTTAATGGGTGAAAAATTAAAACTCAGAAGAGAAAGAAAAAATGCAAGGCACACGTGCAGATAGATGAGTGAATGTTACACTGTTTTACATTTGCTGATTTTCGAATCACTATAATTATTCTAATGAAATAATTGTGCCTATATAATTCGATCACCTACGCCCTACGGTCCAAAAAATAAACCATTTGCGCTACAGGGTGTACTTTTAAATTTTTGGTACAGGTTGTACTTTCATAATTTAGATTTATTCAACTATAAATAAAATGATGGCTAATTATAAAATTGAATAACTTAGATAGATACGACGATCTTACACTGTTTATTGAAAACTATAGAAGATTTCGAACATGGGGATACTGGCATTAGTATATTGCTGCGGTTTCAACTTTCATGTACGATACAGTACCGTCATTTTTATTTTTTATCTCTTTTTTAACTTCTTCCAGATTAGATTTTTTTTTCTCAGAAAAATAAATCTCCCTAGTCTCAAAGTCAGAGAGACCAGCAAGCAATTTCTTAAACAAAATAACTATTTGATATTTATTTTTTAATTAAAAATCCAAACTTGATTTTTGGCTTGATATAGACTCAGCCACACAGACCACTTGACTCTTAAGTGTGTATTTAAACTTAAGATTGTCATTAATGATTTATATTTTGACAATTTTTCACGTTAAAATGCATCAAAAGTAACAATAGGTTACTTCTCTAATCTAAGTTTAACTGATCTAAGCTTGAGTTTTGTGGATAAGAATCAAATGAAATATTTATTAATTTTTAAAATTTCTCCTTAAATTAAAAATAGTAATTTTTCATTCATCTAAATTACCGTAACAACATCACAATTCGAATTAAACTATATTACTTTAATCTTGGTTATTATTATCACTCACCACAAAGACTTATTGGTATTAATTGTTGCAGAGGCAAGTAAAGATTGCAGAGTAGGAAGTAAAGAAGAAGCGATTGGATTGATTAATAAGAAAGCAAGAGACATAATTACATATGAAGATATGATTGATAGAAGGGAATTAAAAAACCCCAATTTGTACAAAAAGAGAAAGATGATTAAAAAAATGGTCTAGTGAGTAGGTGTGGGTCTGGTGCGAGAGAAAATGGAAACAACAGAGTTTGCAAGTCCCACAACGATCCCAACCTTGACTTGTCCACGCTTCGGAATTGGACGCTTTGAAATGGTTCTTCCACCCTTCATCATGCCACCTGCCATGTCTTTCTTAATGTGTTTGGTGAAGAAAAGAAGGAAGAAGAAGTGTTGAGTTGTGTGTTGTAGGTATGAGAGTGTTTGACGTTTGGGTTATATAGAAGTGAGGTTGAGAGAATGACCCTTGTTTTGGTTCTTAATTAAAGGCCTTGCCACTGCTTTTGACCCTGTCTTGTCTTTTCCTGCTGCCGCAATCTTTGGATTTTCTCTTCCACCTCCAAACTACTATGTTTCCTAAGGATAATTTTTTTTTTTTAATTCAACCCAAATTAAATACGAATTTCAAAATTAACTTAAGAAATTCATTTTCTGATAATATGATTGATTTTTTTTTCTTCTATTTTTTAGAAGACGTTGATTAGATTTGTTGGTAAGTATCTCTTATACTTAATTCAATTATATATTTCTTTTATTCAAGAAAACATTAGCTATATTTTGTGAAAGTGACTAATCACAAAATAGGCAACAATACAAATTTAACGTTTGGTGTCTCAAGTCTCAAGTCATAGACATAGAAGCAAGGTATTAATTGGGGGCCCCACGGTGTCCCTCAGATTGTGATCCATTGGTCCCATTCCCCATTTACCTTGGTTTCTCCTAAAACGTTAGTACATTGCCTTTAGACATTTTGGCGGTGGTGGAGGAACAATCGATATTGCTCCCATTCCCATCACATGTAGATAATATTGTCAAGTTCAAATTTGATGGCCATTAAAATCACGTTCCTTAATGAGTCTTGCCACATTTGGAGGAACAATAATGACTCCTACAAATTGGAGCATAAAATCACGTTTCTAGCTTCATGCATTAAGTTCCCTACAAATTTGTATTTTAATTAATAATTCGTGTATGCGATGATGTGGCTCCATTAATCTTCTCTTTGGGTCGCACTCAGCAGCAGCATGACGTATACAGTACTTTGGCTACTACTGCGACAAAATATTCTAGTGGTACAAATGCTAGTTTGCATCTTCTGCAATTGTGAAAACTTTCAATAGAAGATGCACACAGTGACACAGAGAGAAGATAATTGTGTTTGATTTTTTATTTACTAAAACAATAATAGTTAATATTTTTAATAATATGGCTACCAACCTAACTTAATATTACACAATACACTATGTTATCCTTATCAGAGGCTAATTTAATCTCCAATACACTTATCACAGGTTAATTTAAAATTTCCAATACACTTTTTCATGTCAAGTGCTATATATATATATATATATATATATATCTTAAATGTAAAATTTATAATATTTAACACACATATATAGAGAAAGAATTCACTATTTTACTTGCTCTAATTGTAAGAGATTTATTTTATTCAATAACACATGTTTTATATTAAATTTTAATGATCCAACTATTAAATTAAAAATTCTAATTAATATATAAATCAAGTTTACAAATTTTTAAAAAAATTTGAAAATTATATTATATAAATTTAAATTAACACAATTTTTTTTATGATTATTTATTAATTTAAATTAATGAATCAAAATATCAAATAATTTTTAAAATTTTAAAATTTTGTAGTCTAGTTATGTATTAAGAACTTTTAATTTAACTATTGAATTATTAAAATTTTATGTAAAATAAAAATTATGAAATAAGCCCACTAAGAGTTACTCTTATAATGTATTTGGCGGAGGTGATTTAGTAAGAAATGAAGAAAGAGAGAGATTCTCAAGGAATTAAAAAAATGTGTGTTTGGAGAAAATAATTTAAGTAGATTTATGAAGAAATTATGGTGAGACAAATGTTGATTTAATTTCACTATCTATATGTGAATTTATGTGAAATTTTTTACAAGAAAAAATTACTTGGATAAGACTACCCATATACTATTATCTAAATAATTGATTAATAAAGAATAAACATATAATCGTCTAAATAATATATTTTTACATAAAAATCTAATTATATTAAATATAATTTTAAAATATTAATTTTTCTTTATTTTTTTAATTTCACTTTACCAAATAATTATAAATTTTACATTATTTTTTATTGAATTAATTCTCACTTATATTTTTTTCATTACCTTCACTTTACCAAACAAAGCATTACTCCTCATAAATAACCAATTGGAGTCGACAATGAAACTGTAAAGGAATTAAAGGTGTAAAAATATAATGTTAAATATGATTATATAGATCATCCCTGGAATGCAGTTAATAACACAAGGACTAGCCATAATCAATTGCAAGTTGCAAGCAAGAAAAAGGAGTGTGTAAGTGTAAATTAACTGATGAGATCGAAAAGGTAATGGATGTGGTGTGACAAGTAAAGCACTATGGGAAATATAATAGGACTATACCACAAGTTTAGGATAAAGATCTTGGGAAACAAGTTTGACATAGACACTAGCATATAGTATATTGAATCCAGAACATATAAGCAAGTCACTAACATTATAATATGGAGATTGGAGAGAAACACTAGTGTTGTTTTGTTCCATGTGCATATTATTCACGTGGAGAATCTGATTGATAGTGTGTGCAAGGCCACTATTATAGTTAATGAGTAATTAATGGTTTGTTGGGCCATGTGTTGGATTTGACAACGAAAGGTAGCGACAGAAAGGGTAGAGGTTCAGTGTTCGTTGGTGAATTCATGGAATCGATTGTTTGTGTAAGCAAATAAGCAATTAATAGGCCCACCAAAATAAGTAAGTGCGGGTTGCCTTAATTAATACATTCTCTTAAATGTTACGTACATCGCATATAGACATCTTATGTACACTCATCTTATTATTGTACGGCAACTATAAAATAACTCTTCAAATAAATATTTTATTAACTTTTCAATATAATATTAATTATTATTTTTATTTATACTCTTGATAATATTATGAAAAAAAGACTTTTGAATTACATCATTTCTAGAAGAAAAAATTAATCATAAGATTTTAATGATTAATAACAAAAAAAAGCTTTTAATTTTTTTTTATTTTTCTTAAAATAGTAGATTTAAGTCTAACTCAACCCTACAAAATTGGCTTGTAAGGTGAGGGTTGTTTTCACTTATATACTATTTAATTACCTAATCTCTAGCCGATGTGGGATTTGAGTTTTTTTTCCCATACCCCCCTCATGTCCAACACTATTAGGCTTGGTACGTGAATAAATAGTAGGTGACCTTTTTTTAATGAAGGGACTTGAATACACCCCCTCATGCCCATGGTACATGTATCAATGAATGGTGAGTGGCCCATTTTTAAGAATATAGAATAGCTCTGATATCATCTTAAAATAGTAGATTTAAGTCTAACTTAACCCTACAAAAGTGGCTTGTAAGGTGAGAGTTGCTTTCCACTTATATACTATTTAATTGTCTAATCTCTAGTCGACGTGGGACTTGGTTTTTTTTTTCCAATAGTTTTCATCATAGATATATTGTCTAATATATGTAGGATTTTTCTTTATCACAAAAATCTTTTTTATGCGCATTATCTGAAAGTCAAATTCTTATTTACATGTTTAAGAAAAATAACTATTTTCAATATAAAAAATAACTTTTACATTTATTACGATCACAACAATTTAAAAAACCTATTTTTTTTCTTTAAAAATTGCACTAAAACATGCAACTTCCAATATACTATATATCACATAACTAGACTCACGGTTAATTGCTACACTTTCACAACAAATTTCACAATATATTTCACAACAATTGATATATATACACCATCTTTTACAACAAACTACCATCAAAGCAATACTAAGTAATAATGATAATACTAAGTAATAATGATATATACCCTAAACATTTAGAGAAATAATGTTGTGAAAAAAATTATTTCAATTTTTTTAAACATAGAACGTATGTACAACTTTGTAAAAGACTAGTGTAGAAAAGGGCTACTACGTCACCTAATTTACGTCGAAAACTAGAAAACCCGACGTTGTAAAAATGCGGTGGCAGTTTGATAAATATAGAGAGACTAATTTACGTCGGACAAAGGGAGATTCGACGTAAATTAGACAATCTACGTCGGAGGGTTTTTGTAGCCGACGTAGATTGGCTAATTTACATCGGACCCCCCTTGTCCGACGTAAATTTCCCCCCTAAAATGCCCAACATTCCATTTCGCATTCCCGCGCGTCCCACTATTTACGAAAACTATTACTTCTTCTCTTATTCTCTAAGTCTCCAAGTGCCTTTGTTTCCACATTGCACGTTTCTAAGTCTCTAAGAGTCTGCACATTACACGTTTGAGGTTAGTTTCTTGTCTACGCAAATTTTTTGTTTATTTTCTGTTATTTGTTCATCTGGAACGGGCCGTTCTGCAAGTAGTACGGGCCGTTCTGCTTAAATTTTTTGTTTTGTAAATTGTTGATCTAGAACGGCCCTTTCTGGTTTCAGTACGGGCCGTTCCAGATGCATTAAAGATGGACTTTTTTAGGCATTGACCTTTAGTTTACCATCGTATTAGTAGAAATATTTATGAATTTTATCCGAAATTACTATCGATTTTTTAGGGTTGTAGTTTAGGTTAGAAAAATTATGAATAACTGAGTCAATAGTTAATTTGTGTTAATATATAGATAATGAATCGAAGTTGGATGAATGCAAGTCGCATTAGTCAAGAGTACAGAAATGGAGTTGAAGAGTTCTTGGAATTTGCAAGA